TCTAAGTTCCAGGTGAGCTCTGCAGAGAGGGAGGGTCAAGCTTGTCCCATTGGCCCCAGGGCCCTTCCAGGAGCATCCTGCTGGGCCTGAAGGAGGAGGACAAGGAAGGGGAGCTGAGCAGCAGGATCAGGAAAGGCCCTTCCATCCCAGGGTCCAAGGGGCCTTTCCTCCACTTCCTTCCAGGCAGAATTAAATGAGCCCCGCCCACTGAAGGCACCCTCCTCCTGAGACCCCTTCCATCAGCCCAGAGAGTTGACCCATGGGCTGCCCTGGCATGCACTTCTGGGTGGATGCTGATGGGTCTGTAGCCCAGAGGAAGCCCACCATTGTGTTTCCAGAGACCGAAGCTGTGTTCTTCCCAGAGAAGCCCCAGAAGCTCTGGGCTCTGTACAGGGCAGCAAGCAGGGGCAGCTGGCTCTCCACTTTCCCTGCCCAGCTCACGGAAAAACTGCAGGGATGGGTGAGGCCTGGAGGCAAACGCCCTCCCAGCCTGCTTTTGGGGAAGTAAGCAGATAAGCATATCCTTTCCAGTGTTTGCAGATATCTTCGAGAGGGGGGAAAGAAAGGGGGAACAGGATGAGTAACTTTTCAGACATGATCCATGACAACAAACCTCAAATGTCATTACACCACCACCAATTATGAGCAGAACATTTGTGTCTCTTTGACGTGAAAATGACGGGAGGGTGGGAAGGGAAGGGTGACCAAGGCAAGGGGTTCTGGGCTGGTAGAGTGAGGGTCAGGGAGGCATGGACCTGGGACCCAGGACACTGCCTTCCCTCCTGGACACGGCCACAGGCTGTCTCCATTTGCAATTGTTCCCAGGCCAGAAGTCCAGCCCAAAAGGGCTCTAGACAGTCCTGGAAAGTTCCCATGTCAGGCCTCCCAGTCTTGGGCTTCTGTTACCTTGGTAACACCCACACCGAGGCTTTTTAGAACTGCTCTGCCTACTGCCCCAAGAGTCCAGTGGGTGGAGACCAGTATGAACACCACCAAGAGAAGCTAGGCTCCCTTAATGCGATGGGGTTGATGGGGGGGTGGGGGGGGGCGGGCGGGCAGGGAAGAAAGGGAAGGGCCTGAGAACCAAGAAGCCCAGCCTATTCGCCTATTCCGAGGAGAAGCAGACCGCCTGAGCCTCAACCTGACCTCCAGGTCCGGATGCCACAGTCAAGGGGGGATTCTGGGGAACCGGGGCCCAGAAGGAGCAGGAGCAGGGCTGTCTGGGGGCGTGGCTCCTCTGTCAGGCAGCCCCAGGCCTGACAACCCGGGGCACCAGGACCGGCCTCCTAAGGGTCCCTGAGGAGCCCAAGCCCCCCTGGAGCCATACAGCGGGCAGAGCCTTTGGCCAAATCGAGGCGGCACGCCTTCCTGCTGTGCTGTTAAGTTCAGCGTCCTCTCTGAGCCTGGTGTCCCTGCCACCCCACCCCCCTGGGCGCCCTCATCCCAGCTCCTACGCCCCAAGTACCCAGAGCGCAGGCCTGGCGGAGGGGAAAGTTGGCAAGTGCGCGGCGCCCGCGGGGGAAAGCGTTAATGGGCGGCCGGGTGGGAGCAGCTCGCTCGCTCGCTCGCCCACGTCACACCGGTGCGGGCTCGGCTGACGACCGCGGCGCCTGGGGACGCTGGCGCGCTCTGCTCGCCAGGTGCTCCGCCTGGAAATGTCTCCATTAGTTGTCGCCTGCTCCCCGCCGGAGCGCGCGCGCCGAGCGGCGGCGCAGAGCCCTGGCGGGCCGCCGGTAGTGGCCCGGCGCCACCGCAGGTAGGCGAGGTCCCGCGCCCGCCCCCGCCTGGGGCTCCGAGACCCCTCCCCCCCTAACGGGAGGCGGAGGCTCCGCGCGGTCGCCGAGGGGCGCGGGCGGCGGCGACGGTGGCGAACTCCCGGTGCATCCCGGGCTGCGCGCAGCTCCCCGCGGGCCCAGCGCCTGAGCGGCGCGGGCGGGCGCGTCCCCAGCGCAGGTAGGGAATGGGCTCGGCCGCGCAAACTTTGTGAGAATCGCTTCTGCGCTGGAGGGCACAAAGTTTGCTGCCTACCGGTGGGGTCTCTGGAGGCCGCCGCGTTCGCTGCAACTTGCAAAATCGCGGTGCCGGGGGACGGCGCGGGGGCCAGCGCGGGCCAGCGGGGCCTGCGCTTGGACACCCGGACAGCGCGCCTTCCCGCCTCGGGCGGTGTCCAGCGGGGAGCGGCGGGGACGCGGCAGGAGAGCCGGAGGGAGCCGCCTGCAATGGAGGGCGTTTCGGGGAGGAGAATTCAATGTGTGCGTCTGCAGCTCGCCCCACTGGCTTTGTGGGAGACCCCAGAGGACTAGCTACGAAGAAGTGACCTGCCAACCTCGAGGTTCGCGAGTGTGGCGCCATCGGCATCCAGTATGCCTCTTAGCCCCTCACACCGCCCGGGTGTCCAGGAGCAGTGGGCGAGCACAGGCGCCCCAAGCCTAGGCCCTAAGCCTCCGAAAAGAAGGTCCTTGCCCCGCGCTGCGTGCTCCCGCCTCTGCCTTCTCCTGGGGTCAACTTTGCTGGACTAGAGTCGTCCAACTTTGCTGGACCACCCGTGTGGGCGCGACCGGGTGGCCTCTGGACGACTCAGGAACTGAGAGTGCCTGGGCTCACCTGATGGCAGGGGCGAAAGTCGCCCCCGGAGCGGGGGAAGGTCAGGGCGGGGCCTGCCTCCCCAGAGGCCCTCCAAGGTTCTGACAGCAGGCGACAATTAAGGGGAGAGCGACCAGCAGGTCTTTAACGTTTGGGACTAATCGGCCTCAGGCCCCCTCATCTTCGGCTCCTTTGAAATACAGCAGGCCAGTGGGGGTACCTCACCCAAGCCTAGCTGCTGTCTTGACCCTGGGGTACCGGGGGTTTCCAGTGGGTTCTGCTCAGGGTGTATTTAGAACCAGGGGTCTCTGGAGGGACATGGGCTCAGCACTCCCCGTCTATGCAGGTGCACTTAGTTGATACCTGAGATGTGATGCTCCTGTTCCGTCTGCTCTTGGAGGGAAACCCAGGTGCCTCATCTCAAGGCTTGGCCTTTTAGTGAAGGGCTCTTGATAGTGATTCTGGTGTTATCTATGGGGCAAACATGGCCCAGGAAGTACACCAGTTTGGGCAAGCGGACCCCAGCCAGGACAAAGGTTGTCAGCGGGGTGCCCACTGACCCTGCCTCCAGAATTGGTTTGTGAGGTCTGGGTGAGCAGCCAACAGCACCAAGCTTCCCCAAATGGGGTGGCTGGGTCTGGGCAGGGTAGAAAGCAAGGATCCGTGTTCAGAGGCCTATTAAAGTGGAGCCGGTGAGCTGGGTTTCACCATCAGGGAGATGGTCTCCAGCCCTTGAGAGGCCGGAGGGGCTGGGAGCATCTATTTTACACACTGATCCTGCAACGGAAAACAGTGCAGTGATAGTCAAAGAAGGCCCCCCAGAGCCTCTGACGGAGGGTTTGTGCCTGCCCGGCTTTCAGAGTGAGCACGCAGCTCAGAAGACAAATGGTCTATGTTCAGAGGCGCTGTTTTCAGTGAGCTGTGGCCAAGTCTGGGGGAAGGAACTGTGGATGTCGGGTCTGGATATGCGGCAGGCACTGGTGGTGGCTTACTCCCCAGCCCGCTGAATGCTCACAATCAGCCTGGGAATAGGTGAGGAAAGGATGCTGAATGCCACCTTTGCATCGGGATGGGATTCCTGCTCCCTGAGCCCTCATCCACCCTTGCCTGGTGCCCCTCCCTATGCTGGGCCCTCATTACCAGGAGAGAGCGAGTTGTTTGTAAACAATAAATAATGGAAAGTAGGAGGACTTTCAGCAAAAACCTGAGCAGAAGCCGGAAAACTGGAAGGAGTTGGGAGGAGGGATGATGGGGGAAGGGAGGAGTGGAGGAGGAAGACGGAGCGAGATTGAGAGATTTATTTCTGCCAAGAAGCCCCGGTGGCTAGTTTCTTATTATTTACAGGAAGGTGATATTAGCAATTCAGGTGAGAAAGAAATAAACACGGCTGCCACGAAATCAATACAGAATTCAAAAAACAATTATTAATGTCATTTGACTCGTGTTCTTTATATATCTCTTCCGGCTACAGACGTTAAACTGTCTGAATAATTTGCATGGAGCGGCTATTCATTATTGCCAATGTTTTTCCTTTGCAAGCAGCTCGGACGTGGCCGGCTGCAATCCAACACGATCGGAGAATCGTATTTTCATCTGTAAATTAAAGCAATTACGCAGCAGATATTATATGATGCGTACTGTGGTCTCCAGATAGTCATCAATCACCTTCAACCGAGCTGTCAGAGCAGGCAGATTTCGTTTCTGGAAGCCAGGCTTGCAGCTGGGGAGAGAGTGAGAACGTCATCATTAATTAGAGGGTGACCCTGGGGCAATTCACAGGTCTGAACCCAGGAATCTTTCCCAGCAAGTCTGCACAGCGCCACCGAGCGCGCTCCCTCCAGCCGAGTGCGGGCAGCCGAGCAGTTCGAGAGCGCTGGGGGGCAGCCCTGGCCCCGGAGGGCGCAGCACACCAGGCGGGGAGCGAGTTCAGGGTGGCCCGAAGCCGGCCCCTTGACGCCTGCTTGCTGGCCTCCTCTTTTCAAGGTCTGGGGGCCAGACCTGGCTGTGGAAATCCTGGGGTGGGCACTCGGCCCTTCCCCAGACCTATCACTGTGCTCCAGGCACAGAGCTACGCAAAGTGGTCTGGGAAGGGCGCCTCTGCCTCTGCCTCACGCCCAGCTCCCCCTCCATCGCGCCTACCCACCAAGGTCCCCGGAGGAGCGAGGGCAGCGGGAGGGCCCCAAAGCAGTCTCTGAGCCTCCTCTCCGAGCGCGCAGGACTTTGGGCAGTCCCGGGATTAGCCGCGTGGGACTAGGGGCGGCTCAGGGAGTTCGGCCCGCTGGGGGAGTGGGGGAAAGGAAAGGAGGGTCTGGCACCCGGCGAGGACTCTCAGGAGGAGGGGGCTGCTAGGCGTGGGGGGTGGGGGGTTGAGGGGGGCGTTCCCTAGGGACACTGGGCCCAGGGTGGCAAGCCCGCAGCCCTCGGGCACCCAGCCCAGGAGTGGCAGACTCTGGGGAAGGCCCCAGGCCCCACACACCAGAGGGCATTTTGATCTCCAGATGCGGACGCTATTGCAGTCGCATCTGATTCTGGAACTCCATCCCGGAGTGGGGTTCGAACTGGTGGGAGCCAAGTGGCCGACTCCCGGTTAACAACAGTCGGGCCGCGCCGCCGCTGCACGCCCGGCCCGCGGAGCTGCCGGCTGTCCACCTGGAGGGGCGCGGAGAGCCGCGGCCAGGCGGCCGCCTGCGCCCGCGCGGGGCTCATTTTAACTGTTGATTACATCTTCATGAAGACTCACTCGTGTGTCCCTCATACGTCTCATTTGTAATTGAGACTAATGATTACAGTGGTGCGGGGAGGAGCAGCTGCTCATTAATTAATTTCTAATTAAAAGTGCCTCCCGTCCTCGGTGACTAAGGAGAAACGCTGCTCTTCGCGTTGATCTCGACTCCGCGGATGAAATTCATTTGCTAAAGCGTGTTGGCCCCTCCGCGTGCCCCGCCCGGCCGTGCCGCAGCCGAGTGACCCGTGTCGGCGGCCAGGCCGGGCTGCGGAGTGGGCTGACGTCAGAGCTTCCGCCGCTTAAAGCCGCGCACATCTGACTTGACGGGTTCGCGAGACTGGTGTTTTTTTTTTCCTTTTTTGCAAAATATGTATTTGTGTCGCCACTGCGAGGCCGGTCGGTCCCAAAGCCCCCTCGAGGCTCTGGATTGCGAAGCTAAAAGGATCGCGGCTGCCGCCGCGGCTCACTCTCCAACCGGGTTAGGAAAGTTTGCTGAGCGTGTGGATGAACTAACCCGCTCTCCTGCTTCGCCCCCAGCGCCTAGGAGCCGGCGGCCGGGGAGCAGTGGCCGCACCGCGCCGGCCCCCGCGCAGGACCCTGCCGGCCCGCCCGCCGGCCCCGGGCCGCGCTCGCCATGTCCTATCCGCAGTTTGGTTACCCCTACTCCTCGGCACCCCAGGTAAGGAGGCCCCGCGAGGCTGGAAACACTGGCTGGCTGGCAGTCCAGCGATCCAATGTCGCTTCCCAGTGAGCAGGGCCTGTGCCACGTGCTCTTAGTGCCCAGCCCCGGGGAGGGCAGGGGCACTGAGAAATGCCAACGGGTGGGGGCCCCAGTTCCCGCTTAATTTGACCTTCACCCCCCCCGCCCCCCCCCCTATTCTGAGGCTGCACCTTAGGGCACCCAAGACACCCAGTAGAGAAGTGGCACATGAGGGCTTGGAACCCCCTCAGGGAGAGTATGAACACCCCTGGGCAGGATTGGCTGGGACCCACGTGGCTGGAGGGGGACTGGGGTGCGCAGGCTCCTCGCAGTTTGGGGCGCGCGGTCTGGCGTGGACCCTATAGATCCAGAGGAAATGGGCAAGGCCTCCTGGATGGGGAGGGGCGGGGCGGGCGGGGCGGATGGAGGCCCAGGGCCCCAGCCTTGCGCCTGGTGGCCCACCCTTCCTTGCGGCCCCTCTCTCCACCAGTTCCTGATGACCCCCAACTCCCTGAGCACGTGCTGCGAATCCGGTGGCCGCACGCTGGCCGACTCCGGGCCTGCCGCCTCGGCCCAGGCACCAGTGTACTGCCCGGTCTATGAGAGCCGGCTGCTGGCAACCGCGCGCCATGAGCTCAACTCGGCCGCGGCGCTGGGCGTCTATGGGGGCCCCTATGGCGGCTCGCAGGGCTATGGCAACTACGTGACCTACGGATCCGAGGCCTCCGCCTTCTACTCGCTGGTAAGGGCGGAGAGGGTGTATCTCCAGCCTTCCCCGCCACGCCACGCCCCTACCCCTCGCTCTGATTTGCCAACTCACTTTCCCCAACTCGGGGGGAAGGGGGCGAGGCCCCAGTCCCCGGGCTGTAGTAGGTGGGAGAAGCGTCTCCAAGCCTGTTCCCTGGGAACATCACCAGCTCCGCCCCCACTCCACCCCCGGTTGGGGCGACCAGGCAGGTGGACCGCTGTATTTAATGTACTGATTGTTCTCGGATCACTATTAAGTTCTGATGCGATGTCTGGTTCTGTGGGAGCAGGCTCTTCCCTCCCCCTCCCGCTGCTTTCCTCCCCCTCCACAGCTTCCCCACCCCCCTCACTCCTCCTGGCCTCCCTCTACCTCTCCTTTCCTCCAAGACCCCCCCCACCCCCACCCCCGCATACACACACACTCCCACCTCCCTTCCCCTCCTTCCCTGGCATCTCACCCAGTCCCCTGGGCGCCTCTCCATTTCTCTCCTCCCTTTCCTCCCTCTTTATTCCCTATCCCTCCCTCACCCTCTTTCCTGCTGCCCCCACCCCTTTCCCCACCTCCTTCCTGCAGTCTCAGCCTCCTGTCTCCAGTTCCTCTGCACCTATTTCCTAATCCCCCAACACCACCACCCCAACCCCCAGCAGTCTCCTCATTGCTGCCTAGACCCTAGGGACAGTCTGGGGAAGGGAGCGAAGCTTGCAGGAGCCAGGGGCCTAGGGGAGGAGGTCGAAATGGGTGGCGCCGGGAAGGAAGCGCGACCCTAGGCTGCTGGGCTCCCACAGAACAGCTTCGACTCCAAGGACGCGCCAGGATCTGCGCATGCGGGCCTCGCGCCCGCCGCCGCCGCCGCCGCGGCAGCCGCCGCCTACTACCCCTACGAGCCGGCGCTGGGCCAGTACGCTTATGACAGGTGAGGGGCTGACCCTCTTCACCCTACCCGGGCCCTGGTGCTCCAATCAGCCATTACCCCCACCCCCACCCCAAGCATCGCAGGGCCTCTCTGAAAGGTGGGGAGGCCAGACCAGCAGCATTCCTCTCTTAGGTCTTACTGAGCTGACCAGACCTTGGTCCCAGCCCGCCACCTGGCGAGCCCCAGCCCGGTTGAAAGAGTCTCCAGTCTCCCACCTGCCACCCCGCACCCCAAAGTCCTCACTGCGCTGTGGTTTGGGGGAGTCTCATCTTGCTGCCCAGGCCTGGGATGATCCCTCCACCCCAAGAAGTGCAACCCAGCCCACCGCCCCTCTGGTGGGAACCTAAGGGGGCAAGTCCTTTCCCACTAGCAGGCAACACGCCCCGTCTTTCCAGGGGAGACAATTACATATGCAGAAAGGTCATGCAGGTGCATTCTCCCCAGGGGCGCTGAAGACCAGTTCTGTCCGTGGGCGTTGCATAGTCTGGTTTGAAGATATATATGACTAGCGACAGACACCTGGCTAGGCCTTGTGCTTGGCCCCACCCGCCACCTCCCTGGCTCAGGAAAGAGCCCAGGCTCCATGTGAGTTTAATCAAGTATAAACATTCTCTTTGCACTTGGGCCCAAAACAACAGCCCCCGCGGGCAGCAGCGCAGGTCAGAATGTGGGTGCAACCCAGGTCTTACGACCATAAACACACACCCTGGACCGGGACTGGAAGCCTCCTGACGCCCCATTGCGCCCCTTGTCTCCAGGTACGGCACCATGGACAGCGGCACACGGCGCAAGAACGCCACGCGGGAGACCACCAGCACGCTCAAGGCCTGGCTGCAGGAGCACCGCAAGAACCCCTACCCCACCAAGGGCGAGAAGATCATGCTGGCCATCATCACCAAGATGACCCTCACGCAGGTCTCCACCTGGTTCGCCAACGCGCGCCGGCGCCTCAAGAAGGAGAACAAGATGACATGGCCACCCAGAAACAAGTGCGCGGATGAGAAACGGCCCTATGGGGAGGGCGAGGAGGAAGAGGGGGGAGAAGAGGATCCCCGGGAGGAGCCCCTCAAGAGCACTAAGAGTGAAGGTGGGTAGAAACTGGTGATGCTGGGGCTGGAGTTCAAGGCCAGGACTCCCTGGGCCTTCTCTGTGGGTTCTAAAACAGTTAAAGGCATGGAACCCTTGGGGAGGGGGGGGGGGCGGGGGCGGGGATTGTGCCTGAGCAGCAAATGAATGAACTGACCCAAGCAGGGCCCAGTGTGTGTGTGTGTGTGTGTGTGTGTGTGTGTGTGTGTGTGTATGTGTGTTGCGGGCTGTGGTGGTGAGCCAGGAGCATGTTTGAAGGAATCCAACATTACGTTTAAAACATTAGACACCCCTCCACCATTGACTTGAGGCTGAAATACAGTCGCAGGCATTGCCTGTTTGGGGTCTGGGCGCCTCTGGAGGAGAAGAGAGGTAGGGAATAAGGCCTAGCTGCTTTTCCTAGCTCCAGGGCCAGACCCCATAACCACAGGCACAGAGTTAGGGAGGAGAAGGAGATGGGAGCCTAATTAACCCACCATCCTCTCTCCCTCCACTGACTACTCTTTCTTTCCTGGGCAGAGCCCCTTGGCAAAGAGGAGAAGGATCTTGAGCTCAGCGACTTGGAGGACTTCGACCCGCTGGAGACGGAGCCCCAGGAGTGCCAGTTGAAACCGCCATTCCCGCCCCTGGAAGGTGGCCTGGAACGCATCCCCGCTGCGCCTGACCGCCCCAGTGCCCCTGGAAAAGAGGCCTCAGGCACCCACCGGATGCCCCTGGCCACCGATGGTGGGTCCGCCCTGGACCAGGACCTGGAGAGGGCCCGGAGCTGCCTCCAGAGTGTGGTGGCGGGGCCGGAACAGCAACCGGGTGCCGGCGGCGGCCCGCAGGCCTGCGAGGCCAAGCTGGGGTTTGTGCCGGCCGCGGCAACTGCGGGCCTGGAGGTCAAACCGCGCATCTGGTCCCTGGCGCACACGGCTACTGCAGCCGCCGCCACCCACCTGAGTCAGACTGAGTTTCCCTCGTGCATGCTCAAGCGCCAAGGGCCCGCCGCCCCTGCGGCCGTCTCTCTGGCGCCCCCCTTGTCCTCACCTGCAGCCCCGTCCCCCGCCAGCGCCCTGGACAGGCACCAGGACTCCCCGGTAACCAGTCTCAGAAACTGGGTGGATGGAGTCTTTCACGACCCCATCCTCAGGCACAGCACTTTGAACCAGGCTTGGGCCACTGCCAAGGGTGCCCTCCTGGACCCGGGGCCCCTGGGCCGCTCGCTAGGGGCCGGAGCCAACGTGCTGACGTCACCCCTCGCCCGCACCTTCCCTCCCGCCACGACCCAGGACTCCCCTGCGGCGGGCGCCACCAAGGAGCTGCTGGCCCTGCCCAAAGCTGGTGGGAAGCCCTTCTGCGCTTAATTCCGCGGAACCACAGGGCCCAAGAGGGAGGCTTGCACGTCAAAGACTTTTTCTAACACGTTTCCAAAGCCTGGCGAGAGCGCAGCGATGCTCAGGCGGCCCACCCGCCCTGGAGGGAGGATCTGAACTCTGTCTCCAGGAACCACGGACAAACCCCTAGATCTGTCGCGCCAGGTCCACCGACCACCCTGGCCATTCCCAAACTCGGGGGCTGGGGCCCGGTGGGATGGGGCTGCGCCCAGAGCAGAAGGCAGCCGCCCTGAAGCATAAAGTTTACGTCCAAAAGTTTACATGGAGAGGCCGGTTTAGTTCCGAGGCTTTGTTTATGTCGCTGTCATCTGGGTGTGAGGCATGCCCGTGCCCTGTCTGAGGACCCCTCAGCCTATTGACCTGCTTTCATCCTCAGCACATAATTCTCACCCGAAACACTTCCCCGAATTTACACTATTGCACACTCTTAACTTGATAAAATTATGTTTTTTAAATGTATGTCCACACCAGTGATTGCCTGCGTCAGAGGCTGATATAACAAAACCAATAAAACGGAGTGATGATGTTTGCATTGCAAAATGAACACAGTGCCGGGGTAGGGATGTGAGAACCTGTTGGGGGACAGGTGCTGATCACCAAGGGGAGGAGCCGGGGAGGGTGCCGCCCCAGAGACCCCAGGAAGTTGCTTGCAGAGCCTAAGACAGGGTTTGGTAAAGCTATTAAAAAAAAAAAAAAACACGTTCAGGATTCTGATAGAAGTATATGATAGAGACCCGACACTTTTAAACTCTCCCCCCCTCCCCATTACCAGGCTCCTGAATTTTTGGTCGATGGGCGTTTCTTTGGCTAGATTAAATTGAATAGCTTTTAAACGTTCTAAACTCCCTGGGACTGTGCCCTGGTGGGGGAGGGAGGGAGATATCACAACCTTGACACCTTTCCTCTGAAGTCGGCCCTTGGACCGTGTTGTGCGGGAGTGTGCGGCCTTCCAGGGCCCCACCTGGCTCCTAACCCCGCCTCCTCGGTCTTCTGGGACCTGGTGCCACGCCGGCAAAGGTCCCCCGCCGCGACCTTTGGCTCCAGGACCGGGAAGTGCTCTGTAGACCTCAGACCCCACGCTGGGCTACGTAAGGATTAGGGACAAAACCCGAAGAACCATTTGGGATAGGAGGATGCGGCCTTGCCCTGCCGCCGAAAGCGTCCGGCTTCCCTCAGGAACAGGGTCCCCTCACCCCCATCCCGCAGGCGCCTGGCCCCACTCCAGAGCCCTGGAGAGCGGCGTGCCAGTGCACTGCTCCCTGGAGTAGGGTCTGACCTCTCGCCCGAAAGGCCTCTGCTAAGATCCTACTGGGCCTCATTCCACCGGGGAAGGACGGATCCACAGGCCAGCGAGCCTGCAAAGGTGCAGCGGCTCTTAGGTGCAGCGATGAGGAAAGGCGGCCCGTGCCGGGATGCGGGCAGATTGACAGTCGCGGAGACACCAGCTGGAGGGGCGGGTCCTCTCTGGGGGCCGGCGGGCAGTTTTCGAGGGACACGCGAGGCCTGGGCTGTCCGGCCCGGGGCGCTCCAAAGCAGGCCCGAGTGGCTGGTGGGATCCGATCTTGGGGAGAATTTAGGCACCCGAGAGGGAACCGCAGGGCCAGAAGTCGGCAACCTGGGCTGTGGGGCACCCTGAGGGGTGAGGCTCGGATGGCCGGACCTCGGCCAGAGCCCCAACTCTGAGCGGTGGGACCTTGAAGCCCAGACCTTGAGCAGAGGGAGCGGTCCCCGTGCCCAGGGAGGGACTGGCCCCGCGCCCAGGCTGCCGGGCCGCGCGCGGTAATTGGATTGTATCCGCCCGCGCGCTGTCACCGTATTGACTTTCGCTCTCTTGGATGATATTATCGAGGTTCGGAAGCTCGCCGCTGATGTGCCTGTCAAAGGCTGCGGCGGGAGCCCCCGGCCTGGCGAGCGAGCATCAGCCAAGATAATTTGAAGTGAAATTTTCATTTTGACAGTAAACCCCTCAATTTCTAAAGGCTCGGCGCTCCGAGAGCCCGCTGGCAGGGGGAGGCTTTGCGGAAAGCCACGTCTTAGACTGAAAAGGGCAAAAGAACTCGAATTAGTTGTAATAGATAAAAGGGCAAAAATAAAGAGTCAAGGGTACTTGACAGTAATAGCGCAAGTGCAGTCTCCGGGGAGACACTGAGGCCGAGGCTGGGGCGCCAGGAATTTTAATGCGCTGCCCAAGCGCCCCCACTCCAGCCTGAGACAAAGCCGGGCATTTTCAGCGAAAACAAGACTGGGAGGACGTGGCGGCGCCGGGAGGCCGGACCCGCGGACGCGGATGCGGACTTCGCTGGGTGGACCCTCCTGGCCCGGTTGCGGGCTGCGGGCTGCGGGCTGCGGGGGAAGCGGGACTCCAGGGGCGGGCAGGTGGCGCCAGTGGCGAGCGCGGGCCCGCGGGACTGATTCCGTCCTTCCCCTCCCGCCCAGGCCGTGGCCCCAGCTCCGAGGCGGCTCGGACCCGGTCTGTCCCAGACACGGGCCAGGGTGATCCCACGCCGCAGGAGCACCCAGTCCTCGGGGAACTGACTGCCTGAAAGCGGTTTATTTGATTGAAGGACAAATTTGTGTGAAATAAAGACATCAGATGGGGGGGGGAGGATTCAGCCACATCCCGGGGCAACGCACCCCAAAGGACGCCCGAAGCTGGGGCTGTCCCTTCGCCCCACATCTCGACCTTTGGGGGCACACTCGCTTTGTGCACCTTACCCGCCCCTCTGGCCCTTCTTCGCGGCAGGGGGTGGTGCGGTCGAGTTGGGCCAGGAAGGCCCCGCGGTGGTGGGGCGGGGCGGGCGGGGCGTGGGGGCTGACGCGGCGGGGAAAGGTCGCTGTCCCCGGGCGAGGCCCCACGTCACTCCCCCGGCGGCTGTCAGCGAAGGAGCCGGGCCCGGCGCTCAGCCACTCAGGCGTGGCGAATTCAAACACGCCGAGGAGGGTGCTAAATTAACGGCGCTCTTTACATAGAGCCCAAATAAAACTGCAATCAGCGGCGCGTTACTTTTCATTAAGCGACTCTGACAGCCGCAGATCCGCAGCCGACAGGGGAACAGGCCCTGGAAATATACGGCGGGCTCGGCGCGGGTCTAAGATAATTCCTTAAGCTCCATTAACAACTCTTAGCCGCGGGAAATGGGCTCCCGGAAACCTCCAAATCTAAAAGCTTTATCGACCCTCAAACCGCTGTTGATGGTTCCATTTTTTTTTCTTCCTTTCTCCTTTTTTTTTTTTTTTTTTTTTTTTTTAGCTTAAGGAAGAGATGGCCAGCAAGGTAATAGAGTTTGACACGACACCTTCTTAACGAGAGAGAGAGAGAGAGAGAGAGAGAGAGAGAGAGAGAGAGAGAGAGAGAGAGAGAGAGACAGGCCCTTAAGTGATATTTAAAAGGCAACCAATTAAGATTTAAAGTGGTCGTCTGCTGAGACTGCGCAGGCGATTTATGCCACCTACTTTACCGTGGGCATGCCTGCCTGCCTGCCAGGAGCCACTGCAAGCAGCCTGGTTGGCCTCTCTCTCCCTCTTCCTCTCCATTTCTCTCCCACCCCACACCCAATAAAGAGAATAACTGGAGAGAAGCAACAAGCTCTCTCAGTGCTCCATTCCTTCCCACCCACGGTCACCTGTTGCAGTGGGCGCCCGTCTCCTATAAGGGAAATTGAGCCTGGCCCTCTTACAGGCGGCTAGCTGACCAAACCCTGTCTTCTGTGCCTTGGTGCTGGGAGGCGGCCTCTCTAGTGGGGTGCGGGTGCCCAGGCTGCAGGGCTGACACCATGGAGGCAGAGGTATTCCCCACTTTCCCCTTCCTCCCCTGCCAGCCCAGTGCTGTCTTCTCTACCAACATTCCAGAAAGATGCCATCTCCTCCAGGCAGCTCTACGGAAGCCCTTCATTGGGGTGAGCCCGTTCCCTTTCACCCTGTCCCCTCCCTTAAGGTGACAGTGGCCACAGCATTTATTCCCGTTGGTACCACTGAGTTGAAGAAGCCAGAAAGCCCTTATCCAGCTCATACCCAGGGAAAGCAGCAAAGCCAGGAAGGAAGGCAGGGACCTTTTAGTTTGACCCCAGTCTAGGTCCAATTGGAAGGCACAGGAAAGATGGGGCCCTGGAGGGAGAAGTGGGGGAGAAGAGAGAGAGGAATGGGAGAGGAGAAGAAGGGAGGAGGGTGAGGAGAGAGGGGAGGGAGAAAGAGAGGAGAGGCAAAGGCTGGGAGGGGAGAGAGGCCAGCAGAGAGGAGGGGAGCAGAAGGGAGGGGAAATCTAGTGGAGGGTAAGATGGAGACCACCTTCTTCATGAGAAATACTTCTGGAAAAAAGTATGCATTTCCCCAAAAGGACCTTGACTCTTGGGGTGAAGGCAGGAGGTTTGTCAGAAGTCTGGGCACAGACAGGCCCCCTGCCTTCAGAGGGTTTTGTCTGGGGGAAGGATGCAGAAGAAACCCTTACTGCCCTCCTCAGAGTGGGAGCTCATCCTCTAAGTGGTGTGGGGCGATTGAGCAGGGGCAGAAGGGGAAGACGAGGCAGTGGAGCACTACCCAGTGTACCGGGACTGGGCCATGCTCAAATGAGCCCTCACCTGTACCCAATGACAATGCACTGAACAGGCAGACCTGAGGTGAGAGAGATGCCCTCCTGACCCCACCTGGCCCTGGAACCCCATGTCAACACTCCAGCATAAGAGTGTCCAAATGACCCCACCCGACCTGGAATCAGAGAACAGAGGACAGATTTCCCTGCTTTGTGCCACCCTGAGCCTTTGCGTGCTCATAGAGGCCTCGCCAGCAGGGAACAGGGCCCGTCCCTCACACAGGTGACTCCCATTCACAATCAGGCTGCAAATGGGACCTTAATTAATGCATTAATGATGAAGACATTTTCTTCATGGAACATTAGAGTGAATTCACAGTAATCAGCCTGAACACAAACTCCAGGTTTGCAACAGCACTCGCCGGGGGCAAGGGAATAATTTAAGTCACACAAGTAGGTGGGTACACTGCTCATGTGATGGTGGCCCCCAGGGCCACCAGGCAGAGGGCTGTCCCAGCACTGGGGACAGACCTTCTGCAGGGGGGTGGACGGCTCCAGTGCACGCACATGTTGTCACCTGCACCTGTGGGTCATGAGAGTCCACGGCGGGTGGCTCACCTCTGCTTCTAGTTGTCTGTGGGCCTCTAGCGGCTGCTTCCTTTCTGCTGTGGCCCCATTTCTGTGACCATGTGGCCAAGAAGGGGAAGAGGGGACATCCAGGATGGGGAAAACTTCAAAATCAGAGTCCACACCTGGCCCTTCCTTCCTGGCATTTGCCTAGTGAAAAATCAGTTGAATGTGCGGGTACTCCTGGGGCGGTGCCTGGGGATCGTTCCAGGGACGGGTGTCAGGCCACCTGGGAGAAATGGCCTTCAGGAAGGGGGCTCTGCATTGGCAGCAAGGGGGGTGGGAAGAGGAGCTACACGTGCCCACTCTGAGCCCATAGGACTCAGGAAAGCAACCAGGCCCTGGAGGAAATTGGTGGCCTGGCCACTGTTTTC